GGATTTCAGGGTTCAGAGGTTTGTGAAGTGGGCTCTCCAGTGTCCTGGAGTTGATCCATATGCACATATGCGCATCATGGACTAGCCACCCGGGCTCTGGTCCTCACCCCTAATCTGGTCAGAATAGAAAAACCCAACTTTTTCCTCTGTCACCACAGAGATCAGAGGTGCCACACAAGTTACTCTTTTTTTTTTTTTTTTTTTTGAGTTGAGTCTCACTCTGTCGCCCAGACTGGAGGGCAGTGGCCGCTCCCGGCCACCGCAGCCTCGACCTGCTGGGCTCCGGCAATCCTTCCGCCTCATTATTCTGAGTAGCGGGAATTACAGGCATGCGCTACCACGCCCAGCTGATTTTTTGATTTATTGTAGAGATGAGGTCTCACTGCCCAGGCGGGTCTCGAACCCTTGGGCTCAGGCAATCCACTCACCTCAGCCTCCCAAAGGCGCGGGATTACAGGCTGAGCCACCGAGCCCGGCACAAGTTACTCTTTAAACAAAAGGACTCATCAATAAAAAATCAAAATATCTGTAAACCACAAAAACTAAACAAAACTCATTTCATGTATGGAGAAACTGAGGCCCAGACGAGCAAATGGCTTCTCAAGGTCACAGTGGTGTCAGTGGCAGAGCTGGTGGTGTACCCGGTTGCCTGGGCCATAGGCTGATCCTTTTGCCAAGACCAGGCTGAAATGTCCCTCTCGGGAGGTGGCTGGTGGGGGCGGAGTGCCAGGAAGGCACTGTCTGGAGAAGTAGGTTAAGGTCACAGCCTCCCCGGTCCCGAGGGCCCCCTGAGAATAGCTGCAGTGAGAAGGTCACCCAATCCTGAACTGGAGGCTTGAATACTGGAGTGGGAAGGGGCAGGGGACAGGGATTCATCCTCTGGGTTACACTGTCACTGGGAGCAGTCCTCTTCCCCAAACACCTGATTTCAAAGTCTCCCTTCCGTGGGGGTTGGGGGGTGAGGGGGCAGGGGGTGGAGGGTGGGAGGAGGCAGAGGGAGCTTGGGTCCAGCATGGAGGGAGCTGGGTGGGTCCTGGGGTGTCTGTCGACTGCTGTGGTGGGAAGGCTGTGAAAGAGAGGGATGACATTTGTTTCAGGGTCCTGTGGTCAAGCCCCTGGCTGTCACCAGCGGAAATGGCACAGTAGGAGGCTCTGTGGCACTCACTGCATCTCCTCTCAGTGCCCAGCTGGGCACCCAGGAAACGCTACTGAATGAATGGATTGTGCCCAACCTCCCTCAGCCCCTCCACTATCACCAGCCAACCCTCCCCTCCCCCTCCCCCTGTCCTTTAGAGACTAAAGGACTGAGTTATTCTGAGTAGGTTTCATTCATCGAAGCATGACAGACGGTGTCCTGGGAGGAATGCCTGGCTGCCTTGGGGAGCCAGAGGGTGAGATGGGGTGCAAACGTCCTATCTGAGCTCTTCAGGGAGCTCCAGATTGAGGGGGGGACGCAGAGAGCCTAGTCTAAGGGGGAGGAGACACAGTCTCTGTCTGTTGGGACAGTCTGAAGCGGGAGACACAGCTCTGTCTTCAGGAACTCATAGTCTGAGGGGGAGACATAGCCCTGTCCTCAGGAAGCCCCAGACTGAGGAGAGACACAGCTTTGTCCTCGGAGAGCCCCAGTCCAAAGGGGCAGTTACTGCCCTATCTTCAGGGAGCCTCAGTCTGAGCCGAGAGACACAGCCCTGCCCTCAGGGGCTCATAGTCTGAAGGGGGAGACACAGCCTGTCCTCAGGGAGTCCCAGTCTGAAGGGGGAGACATAAAGCCCTCTCCTCAGGGACCCATAGTGTGATAGGAGAGACACAATCTTGCCATCAGGGACTCATAGTCTGATGGGAGACACACAATCCTGCCCTCAGAGAGCTCCCCGGGATGGAGGGCACTGCTCCCACATTCCTCCCTTCCCCAACCCTTAGTCATATCCCAGTCTGAAGGGAGAGACTCAATTTCCTCTAATCAAGCAACCTCTAATCTCATGGCAGAAAAATAGCTGCCATCCCTGCTGAAGAAGATACAATGCCTACCCCAGGCATGGAGTGAAACTCAAGATGAAAAGAGGGATATTCAGAGCATGTGGAGCCACCACTTTCTCCAGTGTGAAGTGCCCACAAGTGGTGGAGAAGGGGGGTTCCTGGGCACACGCACCTGGGCGTATGTACCCAGAACATGCAGAGCACGAGAGGGTGCAGACTGAGATCCTCACCTGGGGAAAGGGAGAGGCCAGGCCCAGGAGGCTGGTCTCCTTTAGGGGTCTGCCTCCGCCAACGGGGGACAGTTGGGAGACCGTCAGATTATTGGAGAACCCACACGGTCTCCAGGCTCTCACATTCAGGATACAGCCACATCGCATCGCAAGCCAGGCAAAGTTGCACTGAAGGTTAAACTTGGCCCATAGCCATGAGTTTGCAAGTTCCTGGGCATCAGGAGGGAATTCTTCATCTAAGCCAGGAGAGATCTGAGCCTGGTTTGGATGAAGAAGCTGATGTTCAAGTTGGCCCTTTAGTCCTGGCCTCCGGGCCTAGCTTCTGCATCTTCAGCTCTCCTCTTGCCCTTCCCAAGATGGGAGACCTGAGCCACCCTGCTCGTCACCAGCTCCCTTGTGACCAGCAGCCTGCAGTTGGTCAGCTGGTGGGGTTCCAGGCCTAGGATGGGAGATATCACCTTTCTTTGCAGGAAGTTAATTTCCCTGCCAGGGGAGGGAGCCTGTGGTGCTGGTCATTGGGCTGCTGTTAACCGAGCTGATCTGGAAGTTCCCGCTGGGTTGCTTTCTCCGAGAGCCTTTACTTCTCTGGGCCTCAAGTGCGAAATGGAGATACTGCTGGCCTGCCTGCCCTACCCTCCCTCTCTCCCTCCGGCTGACGGTCAACTATTCGATGGATCTCAGTGTTTCTGTCAGGGAAATAGGTCCCTGCCCCTTCCCCACTCTCCTGGTCTCCAGGACCTAGTGGACTACGGTTCAGGAGAGGCGCGGGCTCGGGCAACTTCGTCCAGTCTCCCCAAGTTCCAGTGCGGAACTTGGTCCAGTCTCCCCACGTTCCGCACTCCCCCAGTCCAGGTTTGAGACCGCATTCGCACGCTCTTGGGCCTGAGGGGCAGTCCCGAAGGGTGGC